CTTTGGTAAAGGTTTATGAATTAGACTAGTACTAGTTGTATATATCCCAGGGAATCTTCTTGTTATTGGCTTTGCATAATATCATTTTCATGCACTAAATATGATTTTAAGCCATAACACCACTTTCTTACATCTGCTTGATCAAGAAAATTTTAGGACAGAATGCTGAAAACAAGAAATTTGTAAGTATTTATGTTTGAAGCTGTCATTAATGTAGCAAATGCCAGATTACTTAGTTGTTTAGCACAGCTATTAGGGAGTTATTTTAATGCATAGGTTGTTCACCAAATAAAATGACCTCAAGCAGAGCTGGCAGTCCACACAGGAAAATTCTGCAATTCTCTACCAATAAATGGAAAGCACATAACTGAGGCATCTGACATCATTGTTCCATGTGGTTATGTGCTGCAAACGCTGAATTTCAATTCTGAATTTAAAGAAAAAGGACATTATTTCATCCATATGGTAAGTCTGCAATACCATGAACCTCTCCCTAAAAACACTGCCTATTCTATGATCCACGCTGCATCACATCCAATGACAGTTCCATGCCAATTACCATAGATTTTTGCCACATTCAATTACAGCTATGTTAATATATACTACACAGAAGAGCAAAATAATGATGACGTTATAGATTTTTCATGTGTAGACAGTGTCTACACAGACTCTCAGAAATACCAGAGTCATTACAGGCAATGCTTATGGCTCACAAACATCTGTCTCTGTTAAACATAGCAGTTTACTAAACTTTAAACATAAGGGGGACTTTAGAGAGGTGATGTATAATACAATTGGATGAAAAGTCCATTTTTTAAATCAGACAAACAATGAAAGATAGATTGGACTTGATGTGGTAAAATGTCTGGAATGAATGAGTTAGTCCTACATTAGGCAGCTGTTGAGCTATTACTCTGATAACAGCTCAACTCAGTTGAAATTACAGGCACTGCTGCCCTTTGAAGTATGAGTTGATTTCATTTCCTACCATGCACTGCAAACGTTACACTTCACACCACTTTTGTCTTTAACTGTCATGGCTCCATGGTCTCGTGTTGTCATTAAGACATGCACTGGCATTTTTTTTTTCTTACACTTCAGTTTAATATATTTTGCTTTCTAATGCAATAACATGTTACCCTGCTCAGTTAAAGGAAACTTTATATGAAACAAAAACTTTGTAGCAAGGGTGTGTCTCATTTGCAGAAATATTAAAGTTTTAAGCTATTAATTTTTAATTGGTTAAAATAAGGGAAAGAAGGGTATCCCTCAGCACTTATAGAATATATATATAATATGTGTGTGTGTGCGTGTGTGTGTGTGTGTCTGTGTGTGTGTACAAGACTGTGTAGAAGTCTTAGGTAGCCAAAGAAAATGATGTTTAAGTGATCTTTATGTTGGTGTAAAACTATGCTGTTATGCTTGTCAAAGTGCCCATCAAAGATTTATACACTCACACACACACACACACTCACGCACGCACACACGCACACACACATAAACACACACGCACACACCTCTCCCGCCACAAATACCAAAAGGCTTCTAGGACAAAATCAAGGTGATCAAATAATACAGTTTGTCCAGAATTTGCATGCAAAACATATATTTGCACATGGAAATTCTGGACAAACTGTATGGACAAACATACCTGGTCAGAATTAATTGTGTTTTTGAAGCATGCATCCTTCTAGAGTATACCAAAAGCATCCATAAAGTATTTTTGAGCAATCTCCTGTACAATATAAGACTAGAGTATTTTCTTTTTTAATGAAACCGTATTTTATTTCACAGTTGCTGTCCTACCACGAGTGGAACAAAAACATCTGGAACTCATTGGTTCCATATGTGTTCATGGACACTGAAAAATATCGCCATGGAGATGGACCAATACTTTTATATTTGCTCTTCATTAAAAAAATAACATGTCTTACAAAATCTGGGTAACTGGTCTGGATCACGTATAGCTTTTGGAGACCACAAAGCCATATTTATTCAACAATGCATTTAAAAATACATTACACTAAAATATTTTACAATTCTGTTCTTGCTATTCAGTTATTTTATGACTAGAGGTTGATTTGCGTACCATTAAAATGTTGTTTTTTTGTCATTAATAGAAACATGCTAATAACATCATTAAAGCCTACCCATAAATCATTTATACTTACTGCATAAGCATCAATGTGGCATAGTAGCAAGAAAGATATTCCAATATATTCGCACCAGGACAGTTTTAATTAATGATTGAAGGTAGGTGGAAGAGTTTCTGAGTCTCATTCTGACGGAGGCCATTCATGTCATTGGATGAGTACAGTACAGTCCTAGTCTTCCTCCATGAGAGATGTGTTCATTAATAGACTGACAGCCACAAGTCATAGACTGAAAGTCATTTGTTTTAGGAAACAACAAACATTTCCATGGAAAAAAAGAAACATAATGCAATGGATAAAGTTTTTCCCCTCTAAAATTTCATCCGGATAGCTGTTTGTTGTTATTAAATTTTAAAATTCTTCCACTCCTTGTAGTATAAAGGAATTTTCCTAATAGTTCTCCTTTATCTGCATGGTTCTGAAATCCTTGTTGCTGATATTGCACTATAGCAATCTTCTCCAATTGTGTGTGTGTGTGTGTGTGTGTGTGTGTGTTACACTGATATAATGTATCCTAAATCATTCTTTCTTTGACTCCAAAATGCCATTATAGCCCCTGCCCTAAAAATGGACAATGGGAAAGTGGGGGTTTTGCTGCTAGAGGCTGTGCTTAACAGCTGCTTGTAGGAAAAACAGACCACCAACTCAGCCAGGCAAGTAACTAATTGCGTTTGCAGACCAAAGCCCTGATGAAAAGGTATTCCTCTCAATTTCCCCCCATAGGCTGTTTAAATCAAATGGCTATCCAAGGGGTTACAGCCAGCACCAATCGTGAAAGATAGCCCTATTTGAAGACTTAAAGAGCAATGCAGGAGACTCCATATTCTCTGGGTTGAAAACCACTGATTATCAAAAGGAAATAACGTCACTAGTGGTTATTAAACCCTAGCTGCTTATCAGAGAAGAAGGTTTGGTCTAAAAGGATTACATGGAAGTACAGTACAATGCTGAGCTGGGACACAGGAAAAAATCATATAAGAAACACAAACATTTTCTCTTGCAATAGGACTTAATGGGTTAGGACACCAGCGTTCTATATTTATCTCCTTGTTTTGAAGACTAAATCAGCCAATATTTGAAACCCAATGGGTATTTTATGTCTGGATCTGGTTCCGTAATAATCTGCACTGGCTCTGTTCCTTTCATTCTAGCTTTGGAAACATATTGAAAACAACAGAAAACAGACATTGTAGGATGGGTGCTGTGCGTGTTCTGAATTGGGCTGTGGATGAGACCATGTATTATGTTACAAAAACTTCACCAGACACTTATCGAGATATCTGCTTGTAGTCATCATGCTTCTTGCAGCCAACCAACCCTGAATCTTGGATGGAACCAAAACGCAAAAACAATTACATGGACTCAAAACTGTAAATTTATCCCTTAACAAAAATGCGATTTCAATACACAATAATATTGGGGTAGGCCTATACAATTTTTTTAACTATTATTATTAAAACAGAACTCATAGAATGCGTGAACCTTTCACTACTTTAAAGGTGTAGAAGAGGCAGGGCAGGAAACCCCGCTGCGTTGCATCTTAAACATCATTAAAGTCATACTTAAGCAGTTCTTGGTTATTTCACCATATATGTACTAACTGGAACGACGGCAAAGCTGAACAGAATGATAGGACTGAAGAGGCTTTTTCACCGAACTTTGCATTGAAAATTATAATTTAAGTATTTAACATTCGTAGACCGCATAAAATGGTTAGATTTTTTTAGTCATTCAACTCATGATGTTTATAGTAATAATTCATACCATATTTTGGCTCAGCGCCGTACAGTCTTGTCACGTGACACAAAAAGATTAAGTCTCGTCTGAAAATGTAACGAATGCATAAACTGTCTTAAAATGCTTATGCGTCGCATGTGGGGTTACTCAAATATGTCGCATAGTGGGACGAATACTGTACTGTTAAATTGATGCCAATCTAGTCATCATGTATCTATTTGTATGGAAGTCTTTTCGGAATTCAAAATCTGTCTTTTTTCAATTTCATTCATCTAATGAAATACAAAACTGGTAATATTAAGCCATTACGCCCATCACTGAGCAAAAGTTCGAACAACTCCAGCAACTCCAACCAGCTGTTACAGACAATACCCCGAACATGTTTCCATCTGACACTTAGAAATACCTTTCCATATATTTATAAAACAAAGTTTCTAATAGTTTCACAATTTGCTGATCCTATTAAAATTCCATGCCATGAGGGTTATATATAACAATCAAAAACAGAAGGTCTGTGGGCTACGAAGCGCGTATCTTTTTTGACAGGAGCGTCGATAGCGGTTCGTTTCCTGTGCACAGAGAATAATGAAATACAATAGATGACGCAGCTAGGATGCTAACTCTAATAGTAAAGGGGAAAGACGCGTGGAGGCAACACGATTTCACTGAAGAAGCAAAACTCACGCTGAAACCTTTTGAAAATCTCAGCACAATTCACTCTACCTTTGATGCTGAATTTTATATATGCATATGCATATATATTATATACACATTCAACAACCATGAGCAATATAATAATAATAATAATAATAATAATAATAATAATAATAATAATAATAATAATAATTGACTAAAGAAAAGAAATACTGGAGGTTTTACCCTAAATCTGAAATAGGGCGTGGAAATCTGGTTAGCAAAGACAAGAAGAATTTAAAGTATTTAAAGGGGACCGCTAGAACGCAAATCATAGTTGCATGTAGATAAAACGGTGTGGATCACGCCCCTCTAAACTGAAAAAAAAACAACCATATTTTGTCAATTCATCACAAAACGCAAAAGTTTGCAGGCATGTCTGCTTCAAAGGTGTTACGTGATTGTAGAAGCACTTACCTGAACTCGCTCGTGAACTTACAAAAAAAAGAATTATTACTAAGGCAAGGTGCATGTTCCTTATCCTCCGTTTTATTTTCCATCTTATATGAGTATCCATGATCACCATTGACATCCACAACAAATGTGGATTGAAAGAAATAACACAACGTTGGATATTAGATCAGAAGAAAACTCGTAGAGAAGATCCCAGAGTTTAAAAAGCACGTTAGTTTTTCATACAGCCATAAGTTCGTAGCCAAGTTTCCTCCGAGGGCTAGTTCATAGGGCACCCTCTCTTTCTCTTCCACGCTCTTTCCCTTCTTACGGATCTTCCGATCTACACTACTCTGAATCTACCATCAGAAGTGATGCCCTCTGTCTGCATAGACTTTGAAAGATCTTGGAAATAATAAAAGAAAGGGGAAAAAACTTTCACAGGGACTGTCATTCAGAACACGAACAAGAAAGAGCAGCAAATCAGAAACGCGGACATGAAAGGGGTGCGTTTTCATTGGACGTCGCCAAAGAGGGTAGTTCAGTGAAAGTTACCCCCACGTACTGTATTGTGTGTTTTTGTATCTTACGTCTCTGACTTGTTGCTCTTTCCACGAACAATATGTATGCACGTATAATACGTTGGAAAAACTACATTAAATTGTAGTCTAACTTAAATTTCACTCAAAAAAATAAATTAAATAATCCAGAATCAATCTATACAGAGTGATCTATATCTAAATTCACATCTTAAAGAAAATGTTTATGAAACATAGTGGAGAAAGGTGCCTAAAGTATTGTAAATATATAAATAAACAACTTTCTATTAAAAGACAAAGTCAGCCCATCTTCTGACATGGGCACCAACTGTAGAGTATTGGCCAGAGCAGGTGGTGAACTTTTGACGTGACCATGGCTGTTTAAACTGAGTGCTGCTAAATCCGACCCTTTTTTTATTTTTACAAACCATGCTCAGTTGGTATTGGGCCAAAGTCTGCCAAGGAAACATCCCCCCACCATGACACCATCACCTTCAGTTGTTAAACAAGGCAGGATGGATCCATGTTGTTCACACCAAATTCTGAACCTACCAACTGAATATTGCAGCAGAAATCAAAACTCATCTGACCAGGAAATGTTTCTCCAATCTCCCATTGTCCACTTTTGGTGAGCCCCAGTTTCCTGTCCTTGGCTGACAGCAGTGGCACCTGGTGTGGTCTTCTGTTGCTGTAGCCCATCTGCTTCAAGGTTTGACATGTTGTGCATTCAGAGATGCTCTTCTGCATACCTTGCCTGTAACAAGTGGCTATTTCAGTTACTGTTGTCTTTCTATCAGCTTCAACCACTCTGCCTGTTCCTGCCTGACCTCTGCCATCAACAAGGCATTTTCTTCCAGCATTTTCTTCCTCTGCATGTTTTTTCCCTTCTTGGCCCATTCTCTGTAAAGCCTGGAGATGGCTGTGTGTGAAAATCCCAGTAGATCAGCAGTTTCTGAAATACTCATACCAGCCTGTCTGGCACCAACACTCCTGCCACGTTCAAAGTCACTTAAATCACCTTTCTTCCCCATTCCGGTGTTTGTTGTGAAGATTTACTGAAGCGTCTGACCTATTTTTGCATGATATTTTGCATTGTGTTGCTGACATATGATTGGTTGATGAGATACTTTCTTCAATAAGAAGCTGAACAAGTGTACCTAATAAAGTGGTACACACATGTGAAAAAAGGCCATTACTCCTATGGTTAGTGTTACACAGGAATGTGACCTAACTTGACTTTATACCAAAAGAGCACAGATGGGGTTAAAGACAGAGAACACCAGAGACAATGGTGGGGAAATGGTTGGAGGCTGAGAATACTCCAGAATGGAAGTGGCACAGGAGATATACTTTCTTTTAAAAAAAATTTTAAAAAAAGGAAAAACAGTGCACAATGGTAAGTCAAATACAGAATGGTATATGGTGTTCTCCGTCCACAGAAATTGTGACCTGCCAGAAGTTATGTTTATAAAAGTGATAAAATAACACACATAAATGAAGATTAGAACAGGGGAGAAAATGAGCTAGAGTCTGCGGCCACAGAACGAGAGCTCTGGGCTGACCTGCTCAGTATGACCATCACCAGAAGCAGCAGCAGGAAAATGAGGATGATGATGATGATTGAAATCTTAGATGGAATTATAGAGAATAATAAAACTAGGTGCACAGATGCTGTTCATTATTTATCCATTGACAGTATTGCAATGGGCAGATGGGCCATGTTGTTTGTTAGAGTTAGAGTTTTAACCACATGGTGGTTTATTGCATCTGTACCATGCACTCCCAGCATATACACCATCCTGCTCAGTCCCAGCTGCTGGGGCACTCACTCCAGGTCCCAGCAATGGCTGCTCCAAGTGGCCAGAGGCTGGTATGGAGCCAGGCAGTCGCGATGCAGCATGACAGTCCTGCGCCGCTCTGGCATCTGCACCCTGTACATCATCTGAGAGATTCACTCCAGGACCTCCTTGGGGCCCCTCTAGTGGCAGACCGGCTTGGATGACCACCCCCTTCTTCTTGATGGGACGGTACACCCAAACCGGGTCCCCAGGCTGGAAGGCCCTTGGCCGTGTCCTGATGTTCCCAGGTCAGCTCTTGCGTGGTCCCCACACACTCCAGGACCTAGCTCAGGTAGTCCAGACCCAGGCGGACCTGGGTCAGGTTGGGTTCCAGGGGGCCCGTTACGTCAAAGTGGGGTAGCTTCAGAGGGGTCTTCATAATCAGCTTCATTTCTACGTGGTGCTGCTCCCAGGCGCCGGGCTGCCCTTCAGGTAGGTGGGGTACTAGCACCGTGGGGTCATTCTGAGAAGGCGTAGCGCTTGGTTTCCAGAGGTCTCCTCAGGGTCACTGCACCACCCTTGGGGGGTTCGTAGGAGCTCTTCGACCTCCCTGGGGAGCATCACCACCTGCATCCCAAATCCTGACACAGTATTATTAGCTACAACATTATGATTGGAATGATTATAACATTTCCTAAGAAAAACAATAAAATAAAAACAATAATTATTCAGTATCAATACATACAGACTAATAAATAGAGTTAATGCACATAATGGCCTGGATTGTCACCAGAAATCTGTTGGTTTAAGTTTCAAGAGGTAATTGATGGCCCTGTGTTTGATAGTTGATTGGCTGGAAATTCTTCAGGGTAATTCAAATATTGTACCGTTTGCGTGATTATGTCACGTCGAGGACAAGGACAGAGGCGAAGGCAGGCATCGGGGGAAATCAAAGGGGCTTTATTAAAGGAAATCACAGCACAGACAGGGCAAATCAAACGGACCACAAGGGGTCAAAACGGGGAGATGAGTATGAGGAACACAAGGCACAGAACAGACTCAGGGGCACAAGCAACCTAAAAAACAGCAGTGACTATAGCTGTTCCTATGGTTAGAGGTTGTCTTTATGCTTATGGGCCATAGCTTCAGCTTCCACTCTTCAATAGAGGGAATAGACACAATGCCTTCTTGAATACAGAAACGCTTTGTCTTCTAAGCTCTCTTAGCTTTTCTACCTCCTGTCATGCTTGAAGTTACTTATATTTGCTAACATTGATAGGTGACCCATTCAACCTTCATTCACCTTTTTCAGTATCAGTTTGAGGGGCAACTTTTTCTTTATCAATGAATTGTAATGTTAATGATTATGAGCAAAGCGTGCACTTCGGAGCATGTAAGGACTGCTGCTGCAAAGCTAGCCAAGATTCCTGTGACACTAACTGGATAAAACTATTGAAGTACAATGCTGCACTATAACTAATAAAAGCCTTGAATGATTAGGAAGCTTAACTCTCATCAGATCATATCAGAATCAGGATCAGCTTTTATTCGCCAAGTGTGCTGGGGCACACAAGGAATTTGTTTCTGGCAGCTTGATACTCTCTCGTACACAATGTACACAATTGTACACGATATTTTAACAGCATGTAGGTACGTGGTTGTTTGTGCTTATTCAGCTTTGTAACAAACCACTCATCCAGTCTCCAGATTGTGTAAGAAACTGTGCTGGTAATGTTATCAAGAAGCAAATGTGCTTTTGGGCCATAGAAGTGTTNTGAGAAACAGGCAACCAGACAAAGTGTGACTTTTGGATACTTCTGTTGTCAGTGTTTGAACCTTATAGTATTTTTTGGCTGGACCTGGGTATGTGTTTGATTTAAATGATTCATTGTTTATGTTTTAGAATATTTTAAGATATATGATCAGAGCAGCAATTCCTGTCTGATGTATTTTTGCTCAATCCCCATTTCTCCAGTTTAACATTTCAGTTCAGTGCATAATAATAATAACCAAATATGTTTCTTCACATATTTCATATGAACCCTGAACTTAATTTCTTTATGTTGTTGCTCTATGCCCTGCAGAAAATCAGGTCCTTAATGGAGCAAATGACAAATTACACAAAAGCTACAGACATTTGCCTCCTATATAAAATTTTATAAATACATTTTCAGTTCTGGACTGATGATCTACAATTAAGATTTTTGAAACCTAAGAGATCTTAGAATTTTCTTATTATTATGAAGCTACATATTTGACAGCAGGAAGCTTCTCACATCCTATGTTAGAGTGTGTGGCGGAATACTCTGGAGAATACTTCCTGCCTACAAAGCTGTATATGTCTCCAGTATACAGTATATCTCATGGTGTTGCTGAATCTTCTGTCATGTCAAAACATGCACAGTCCCTTTGTTTGAACTCACGTTATACCTGAGATCAAGGGTTAGGTCTCACCTTAGTCCTATAATATATCATAGGACCCTATAGACACCTGTTCCAAGACCTGCCCAGATACTGGAAGGACAAAATAGTCTTTTGTTGAGCATGGGATTAAAATACAGGCTTCAGTAAGACTTTTAAAAATCATTTTATTTTTTTAAACTATTCTCTAATGGTACAGCAGTAATGGTGTCATTATTAAAATTGAAGTGACAGAAGCAGCACACACACACATAACTAAAGTACAAAACTTCCAGTGTAAGCAGTTATATGGTAAGGAATAGATTAGTCTCAAAGAAAACTAATTCCATTTTCAAAAATGCACATTAAAAAATGTCCATAAAGAATAAGCAGCATGTTTGTTTTCACATCTGTGTCAAGGAATGTGGATTTTAATATGCAGCTTGTTCACAAAGGCCTTCATCTGCTAAAAAGAGGGGAAAGAAATGAGAATGTCTGTAATTAGCTTCAGATATAAATCCGCTGAGGGCATTTCATGGCACCTCACAGAAGCTGAAGGAAAACCACATAACTGTGAGAATAAGAAAGCATCCAACATAAAAATCTTCACACATTATTCAGAAATAAATCAGCCAAGAAATCAGATGTAAATACACCAAAAGCCGAAACCCTACGCAGGCACGTACGGGTCACCGGGGAGTTGGGGGAATTTCTCCTAGTTGGAGGGAAAATGGACCG